AGTATCTGTATCCCAAGACCTTCACCCCGGGGGCCCAAGTCTCCACATATATGTGCAACCTGCAGCATCTATATGCAAATGTCGCTGGACCCTCTGGGTCATGCCCCAAGCCTCCAACCCAACTTGTAGAATCAGATCTGGGAGTGATGGGACAGACCTTTGCAGCTTACGAAACAGTGTAGGGACCACCCTGAATGGCAGCCGTAAAGTATATGGACCACTTACGCATACTAGAGACGGAAAGAGAGAGTAACAGAACAGGAGAGGAGGTGGAGAATGCAGGGCCTCGATCTCCGGCTATCCTTGAAGCTCTAAAAAGATGTCAGCTCCTCCAGTAATCTCTATTTCTAGCGTGAAACATCACCCAACCCACGCCCTTGCGATCAGTATCATTTATAGTTGGCCCAAGATGTCGGGAGACATGTTTGCCATTGGTTGGGTGTTGAACCTCAGGGACAGCGATTAAACTTGTGGGAAGGACCTTCTGGGCTGTATGCTCACGTCAGCTGCCTCTTCTCTGGGTGTCGCTTGTCCTTCTGGTCTTGGCCACTCTGCAGCACGAATATCAAGAAGGATTGCTGGCTCAGCTTGTGGCTTCCCATGGTGGGAGCAGCAGTTGAATCCCGCTAGTACTGATAGCGGCAGCAGAGGCAGTAGGAGAAGGAGTAGGAGGAACCCCAAAACATACTCATCACTGCAGTTACGCTGAACCAGGCTTCCATCATCAATGAAAACTCAATCCTGTAGATTCAAGGCCCAGAAAAACCGGAGAGTCAATCCCATGCATCATTGAAACCATTATGTGGGGGGTTCAAAAATCGGGCATCCTTTAAGGCGTCTCTCTGAGAAAGATTGCAGTGTTTTGGGCAATACACGGGGTCCCTACTGTTGCAACTGTCCATGTCTAGCAGCTGTTCCAGTCATTCTTGGAACTGAGGTGAACAGCCCCCAAGACCAGGCGCAAGAGGGTAAGGGACACTCGGTTCTGACGCGGGCTTTTCGCTACCAGAGCCTGGATTAAGGGTTGACGTTGGTCATGACAAAAGTGACGAGCACGTTTTCCAGATACAAGATTTTGCCCCGCCCAAAATTTGAAATATTTACGAGCTTCGCTTTGGGAGTGCCTGTAGCAATGACTTTGGTATTTTTAGGCTCCCTACGGAAACACCCAGACAGAGGGACTCCCATAGTCTCTGCCGATCTCCACACATCTCTAGGGTTCTGTAGGGCACTTGATGTTCAGCTTCCCAAGATAGCTGGCCCAAGGCCTCCGATGTTTAGAACATGGAGTTTTTTAGGCCCTAAACCCTAGATCCTAAACCCTAAGCCCTAAATCCCAAACCCTAAGTCCTAAACCCTAAAACCCTATATACCCAAGTACCCCCCCCTAACCCACCCCCTTGTGGTATTGGCTTTGGCAGCGCTAGAGCTCGGAGATGCAATAATGATGATGCTGGACTTAAAAATCCTGGTTCGCCTGGTGTACCTGGGTTCATTATAGATTGGTGTTACTTAAGGGTTAATGGAAAAGAAAATGGAAACTACTACTTAGGGTTTAGGGTTTATGTTTGCGTATTGTTGTAGACACAACACCCGACAGCAGGTCCTCCAGGTCTTCTTGGTGGACAATACTCTGCCCACAGAGAGGACAACAGCTTTGAGTCGCAAGGACCGGGATGCTTCAGATGAGCTGTGCTTTCAGCGTACCTTGGGAAATCTACAGTATAATCTACAGGAATATCTTAGAAAGAACAAATTCTCCCATCATTTTGTTAGTTTCGGCGGCCTCAGGGGTTTAGGGTTTAGGGTTTAGGGTCAAGGAAGCAGGCGTGGGCAATGTCAGCAGCCAACAGTTTGTGCCGGTCGGGCCGCAGAGCTTTTTGGGTCTAGTTTTACTCGATGTGCTAAAGATCAGGCCGTCAGCTTCGGGCCTGAAGGGAAGAAGGATCATTCTAAGCCGCAACCTGCTGTGTTCTGGAGGTGCAATGCCTCGGGGCTAGCCTGGAATCGTGCTTCAAAACAATAATGTGCCTGCCAGCCATCGCGTATTAGCACTTCTACGGAGCACCAGGGGAGGTTGCCTTAAGGTTTGCAGCTTAAATGCCATGCATCAGCTTCTGCAGTTTCTATCACCAATAGCTAGCCTCGGGATCCTCGGTCCAGGATGCAAAGTTCACGCACTCAAGAACTTGTGTTGTCCGCTGGGAAGTACGTCCCGAGCGCCCTAATGGATCCAATAGCTTGAGTCATAAAACGGGAAACTCGGAAAATCATGAATGATATAGAATTTGGAGATTCCTTCTCGGAATGTTCTATGCACAATGGATTCAAAAGAGGAGATGGCGACTTGGCTGGGCACAGCAGTTGGGCCTTTGGTAGCTCTGCTGCTGGTGTCTGCAGCGGGCGCAGCTGAGCCGCACGTTGAGTCATGGAGCTTCATTCTTGCACAACCTTTTTTAAGATTGCAGGTATGTCCGTTTTTTTGTAAACAGTGCCTCTCAAATGTAGTTGTGAGCCATCAAGCTAGTGGACTTCAGTGCCTGTTAGAACTCATCTTGGGCAGAAATTCAGAAACTCACACGTGGGCGCAGGCACCCAGGAAGAATGGAGGATCATGCTTCAGTCTTGCATACATTCATCCCTAGCTTCACATTTAAAGCACTGCCTGCCCAACACCTTCAGCCACAGACCCTACCCCAAAATTGAACCTACACCAGTTGGATTCTACTCCGATAACTCTGCAGGGAAGTGGAGGTTGGTCCCTGAGCCTCATCGAGACTGTTGTTTGCGTGGGCCTGGCGGGCTCTGTGCTGGCGGGCAGTTGTCGAAAGGGGTTTTTGCGGCATTTCATGACAAGATGCCCATGGAATATCCAAAGTCCTACCTATAACCTGTAAGATCTCAAACTCAACAACGCCCTACGTCCCAAACCTCCTTCAACCCCAAAAGCCCTCAAACGTCATAACCCTGACCAGGTGGAGCCCACAGTCTTCTTTTTACGAAGCACAGGCATTTCAGCAGGGCCGGCGTCAGAGGCTGCTTGGAGCCCCAAAATGCCGAGGGGCCCATAGGGGCCCAAAGGATATAGAGGGGTCCTTACAAGAAAGAACTTCGGGACTCATCCGCATACTTTGGAGGCAACGAAAACATAGGTTCTGCGAAGCTGTGGTAAGGTTCAGGAATTGTTCGGTTTAGGCCGCTTTGCAGTTTCGATGGATTTGTACTGGCCGGGCTCACAACTCGTGTGCCATCATGTCTCGAAGGGAAGATGAAGATTACGGCTGCGAAGAATGCATTGTTTCTGGGGCCCAGAAGCACGCGGTGTACATGGGTTAGGAGGTTGATGACAAGTGTTTACTTGGGACTTCAATGCACAGGGGCTGCAGAGCTTCAGCATCGGCCGTGGGATCTCTGTTGATACATGGCTCATGTGTTCACAGCTCAACGCTTCAGGCGTTGGAACATAGGGCTTTTTAAACCTGGAATCGTGAATCCCCAAGAGTCCTCGTTGAGATTCTTCGCATAATTTGCCTAACCCCTTGAAGCCTCAGCGTTCATCTACCCCCTTCATCATATCTTGGCTGCTATTGACATGCTTCCGATCTAGAATGACCGGTCCAGGGTAGTACTACTATGCAGCAGAACGTCAGGCCGATAGTGGAGCGCCTGTGAGAAGGTATAAGGGAAAGGAACAGTATTATTGAAGCTTGAAATTTGTTGATACTCCCTTCCACGTATGTCTGTAAGGGGTTTGAAGCCATTTGAGAATTCGAAGTGCGTGGGCCATTGTATTCCTTAATGATGATCCTTACAGTTCCTGTGTAAAGCGAACCTTCTGACTCTACGCAACCATACTGAAAAACTCTACATGCGAAGGCACTCAAAACCTGAAACCTCCATCTGTTTTTCTTCGCCCTTGGAGGCTTCTGCCTTGTCAGCTCTGCCTGGGTGGACACAGGGCAAGGCGTCTTGTTCTGATTTTCAGGTCAAGTGAGTGGGCTGGAATTTTGGGGTGGATGGATTCATGTAAGCATGTAACTTTCACGGTTCAGGGTCAAAGTCGGGAACCATCAAGCCATTGCCTACTGCAAGCACCTAATCATGTTGTCAAACTTTGAACACATATCAGCAAGAATTATACTCAGGCCATAGAGGGGCATACTGAGATCTAGTCTAAGATAATCTAAGCCCTTTCTCCGTGGACCATTGCAAAAAAATCTGAACTTGAAGCCTTACATCCTAAGCCCTCAAGCTTTAAAAGATTTGACAGCTGAGGCTTGCGGGGTGCAGAAGAGATGGCTGATTCCCATTTGGACGGATGTGGCTTGGTTCTCTT